AGGCAAATATTCGTGAAAAAGTTTATCCAGGATGGCAGTTCAGACGCTTCGTAGGATTATTGCATCATGTACTATTCTTAGATGAAATGGAAATTGTAAATATTTCTGTCAGAATTATAGTTTCAATCCACTCCTGACAATACGAAATGGAATTCTTCGTCAAAGAATATCGTACTTACGTACCTGATGTATAAAAGAGGAGGTTGATATGTCGAATGATATCAAAGTAAAACAAGACCAAATACTATGTTAATCGGACAGGTCGTATGTACATTCATTCTTAAATTTACTTCGCAATATCCTGAGTAAAAATCAGTTGATTTGCCCAAGAATGTCTCTTAGTATCAGAGAGCCTGATAATAAAAATTCAATGGACTATCAGTGCCACTTTGTTTCGAGAAATGTTTGAAGAAGAGGACTATAGATACAATTCCATATTTGGACGTTTCGGGAACGAATCTGCTCCCGTTTTCAACATAAAAAATGGGAAACTCGGGAAAATATAATTCTTTTATATCAAATTCAGATATCAGTCAGTTATTTTCAACAGGTCGATATATATGAGTATATTACCCAGCTCCTTTTTCAGTATTATTATAGGGGTTAAGTTGAGTAGGAATTGACTGGATTCGTCTGGTCATGACTAGACTTCGCCCATTTGCCCTCAGTATTATTGTTTTTTTTTGTGAGGACAAATAAAGACAAATTATTATTATTATTATTATTATTATATGCGAACCCAAGTTTTTCATTCAATAATAACTATTCTTCTTTCTTCTATCCCTCTGAGCTAGATATCCTTCAGTACTATAAATTCTCCGAGTGATATTAAAGCGATCGAGTAGGCCTAAGAAATGGCTTTTTCGATTTAGATTCCGCCTTTTGTTTTCATTCTGGAAATGCCCCTATAATGAATGACACTTTTTTGCATCTTTTCCATTGCCCCATCGATAGGGAGAAGTGGAGATACTTTGCAAAGTTGCCTGAATCCTGAATGGATCGTTTGTTATTTTCTCTCGTTTTTTGAACTCATTTGCAATTCATTCACCATTGAGGAGAATTCGATGTCATTGACAATGATAGATCGGATGATGAGAATTTGAACATGATAATATCTCGCCTATACAGGGTGGCCCTTAGAAAACGAAACATATATAGGCTCTGTAGGTCGCCAAAACCGGATTATGAAAACACTCTGAAACACCTCCACTACATTATCGAGGGGGACATCGTTCTAAGATATTTTCAGCCCTGCGGCGTTGCCGCTTCTAACGAAAAGCAGCAATAACTTTGTTATTTCAATTGGAACACCTTGTATTTTATGCATTTCTATATTCGGCCCGGAGAGCTGATTCCATCGATGCATCACAATTGGGATCTAGCGGCAATAATCACAGAGCTATAGGGTGTTCAAAATCCATATTTTTCAACTCTAGGATTTTTTCGTGTCGAAACTATTCATCATTGGTCAAAGCGGCTCATATAACCCAATCTCGAAACTCAATTCACTATCTACTGACATTTATTTGAAACAAATACAGAGTGGTTCAAAGTTCAAAATTCTGATCACCCTGTATATGTTCCAATTAAATGTCAGTAGATAGTGAATCAAAAGTTGAGATAGGGACATGAGAGCCGTTTTGACCAATAATGAATAGTTTCGACACAAGAAATGCTAAAGTTGAACTATCTCGATTTTGAACACCCTATATCCCTGAAATTATTCCAGCTAGACCCCAAGTGTGATGCATCAATGGAATCAGCTCTTTGATGGAAATTTATAAATACAATGAAATGCAAGGTGTTCCATTTGAAATAACATAGTTGTTGCTTCTTTTCGTTAGAAGCGGCAACGCCGCTGGGCTGAAAATATTTCAAAACGATGTCCCCCTCGAAGATGTAGTTGACGTGTTCCAGATTTTTTTCATAATCCGGTTTTGGCAACCTACAGAGCCTCTGTATCGTTTTCAAAGGGCCACCCTGTATAGTGCAAACGTGAGGTGTAGTGAAGTACGTCCTAATAATGAGTGGCCATATGTTAGCGCCGAGTTAAAAACAATGGTCGGAATTATCAAATTAATAATAATAATTTCAACCAAACTATGAAACCATAAAAAAATCATCAATAAGATACACAGATAGATATCAAATAATCTGAGAGCATCCTATGATTACGAAGTATATAGAACTGATGTGAAAGATAGTATTATCGGACCTAACTTTAAATGTTGTAGTACAAAATCGTGAGATTTAATGATAAGATATTAGAAACAAATATATATGTAAAATGTTCTCTCTTATCAAACAGACATGTATATACGAAGTGTTGAGAAAATTGACTATAGATTGATTTTCAAATATGTTCACAAACATTTTATTCATGCATATCATATCGCTTGGACCAGGAATAGATGATTTCATTTTCCTGATGAGAGCTTTTGTCCCACTCATAGAACTTCGAAGAGTTATCAGGGCCCTCACTGTAATTCTAATTTATTCACGATATCGATGGAAAAGTGAATTGTCCAACGCTGATCCAATCATTCAAGAAACTAGTGAGTGTAGCATTCCCAACCAAGTAAACGGCTCATCTCTATAAAAGCTAAGAAAACCAGCGTATGTTTGAGTACTGAACCTGATATGTGTGAACAAATTCCGAAACGATTCGTATCTATGTTTTGGTAATCATGAGAGGTGTGAAGTAGTTTTTCACTCGGAATGAAAATATGAGCTTTAAATGGCATGGTTAAAATTAGGCTCAGTGAGAATCAAACATCGCTACCTGTTTTGTTGTATATGGTAAATGGCCCTATATAAACTTATTTTGAATTGTTGTATTTCGTGAGGGAAATTTGTGGAATGTTTCGGCAGAGCCGAACACAGTGGTTGTTGGTCGTATGTATATTAACAGCGAATGTTTCCGAATACGGCTGCATGAGAGTTATTGAAATGTGTGAAAAAGGAAAGAACGAGAAAGGGTGTCATTCAGTTGACAAATGTTCAATCATATCGTGAGAGGAATGATATTGAGCAACGCAACGGTGTCAAATAACGATGGATTTGTCAGTCCCTGTCACGAAGGTGTACCCGTAATAACACGGAACTTCCTAGGGACAACCCAATTTGATACAATTCAAGTACGAATGCCACATGCCAAAAATAATTGTCCTTGGGACGTCCCATCCCGTACGTCTCATGCAATGTCCAAGCCAGGATATCCATGAAATGTCCGAGCTGGTACATCATTTCAATTGTCCTGGAAACAGCATCCTTTAGACGTCCCACATGGTTAATATTGTAGAATGTCCAAGCAAAGACGTCCTCTGATGTCTCAAGTAGTACATTTGCTGGCATGACTTCAGATATTATATAATATCTCTTCGAAAAAAAAACATGAATTATCCCAGATACATTACTTCAAATATTTCTGCACGGGCGTCCTTTATATTTCCAGGGTCGTATAACATTCGGAATATCTCTAAGTGAAATCCGTCCGATGTCCCAGTTGGTGCGAACTGTTATGACTTCGACTTCGGAAGGAACTCCTACAGATAATCCATGTGTTCATCTAAGTGATGAGTGAAAGAATATTATTCAGGAAATATAATTTCATGAGATGTCATGAGTAGAACGTCTCATGAACATTTGAAAGACGTCCTCAGAATGTCCTGGATACGATTCGGAATGTGTCCTAAGCTACATCTATCGTTGGTATACATTGGCATCAGAACTTCAGATAGACATCCTATATAACTGTCCTTCACGCAAGCGGATGATCATTTTCTCTTCCAATGTCCTAGAAATAACGTCCTACGGATTTCCCAGTCGGTACGTTGAATATCTTGTCCCTTCGAGGACGTAAACTTACACCTCGCCGACGATCGACTGCTCGTAGGCTATGAACACTCCATGTCAATGTCCGTTACGCAAGTTCATTGTTATCCCTGGGAACCTTCTTCAGGATCTATTGGAGACCTTCTACGGACCATCAACTCAAGTGGATGTCCTCATCAGTTATGCAAGATCTGGTCCCAATGAGACCCAAATAAAATTCTTCAATAATTCCTTTATCTCTAGGATATTCCAGTAGATATCTCATAGAAGTTCCAGGAACGTCCTATGACCGTTTCAGAGGACGTATTATGGACATTCTAGAGGACGTCCGATGTTCTATGGTCATTCAAGAGGACGTCTCGGAGGATGTCATATGAATATCCTCAGTGTGAAAACAAAATGTTCAATGAACTTCTTCAAAGGATGTTCATTAGATGATTTCCCGAGGAGATATAATGTATTTCCTTGAGGAATATTCTTTTTTGGTGAGAATTCGTGACATTTGTACCTCCCAAGGGCGTCCTATGAATGTCCTCGGTAGTAAGAACGCATTTGCCATGGACGTCTTGAATTACCCGGCATAACTTCCTATGGATATCCATGTGACTGCAGTGTGCTATGACGAACTATCACGAACGCGAGTGCTTTGTGTGTGAGTGCTGGTGCGAATGTTGGAAACTGAACTTAACTGATTGATAGCCGGAAATTAAATGTTTGATTTCGCGAGAAAATCTGAACTATAGACGATAGTTAAAAACGGTAAAGGGCTGAACCGTGTCTTACGAAGTCCCTACACCTGCATTGCGTTTCCCTCACCAAATATAGCACTCTTGATTATTGTCTCATTATCTTCTTTTGTGAATGGCATTGTTCATTTACATGATTATAGTGATAAAAAATTCCGCCGTCAACTGTTTACTCAATCTTCTTTGTTTGTTTCAGATACCCAACTTCCCTGCCATGGCGGCGGTTCGTCCTGCGGCGTCGAACTCCCCTTGCGACCAACTCCCAACTCCCGCGCGCTAATCTCCAGCTTCATAAACCAAACCGTATCTCTGGCCAGAAAGATGCGAAATACGGCCCCTCGGAGGAACTCCAACTCACAACTCCGACTCACAACTCCGATTTCCAGAGACTTCGAAGGTGCGCCCTGAAGAACAGATGTCGGCGGGTGCATACTAAGCGGATGAGGGGGAGGTTTTATGGGTCCCCGAATGTGTTCCGGGAAGTTTCGGACAGCGACGCAGATGTTTATTGGAGAAGTGAGGGCAAATTTGAGTACGATTGAATATTTCATCTCTCGCTTATCTGCCGAATTCTGCAAGCATTTTCATGGTATCATTTTTTGGTGTTCATGACCAATACAGGGTAGTCACGAAACTAGCCTGCCAAATACTGTCTGTAGGTTAATCGAGGAGGTGGTACATTCATCATTCCAAATTTTTTGGGATTTTCTCTCCTCGTTTCTATAAAATAAAAATATGAATATTATTTCAATATACGTGTATTAAGGACAAATCAGATGATTTGCCCCAAAATGTCACTGCGTTTAAAGAATTTTCCTATCAGAGAGCCTAAAAGAAAAATTCACTAGCTTGTCAGCGACAATTTGTATTGAAAAATTTTTGGAGAAGAGAAATAAAGGTATATAGTAAAAATATCAAATTTTCACTTATCTTTGGACGTTTCGGGACCGATTCTGCTCCCGTTTTCAACATGAAGAGATTTTGTCAATTGCGAAGTCGTATAATATGTCTTGAAGCATTTCAGTTTCCAATGACAATTGGTGACGTTGGCAATCAAAGGAGTTACAGGATGTTTTCATTAATTAATCTTGAATTTACCATTTTCATGTTCAGATTTTAGTAGTGAATACCATGTTCTGTCTATATCAACTGAACAAGAAGCAATGCTATTGTCTCCGTTCAGAAGAATGCAAGCAGATTCCTTGATTTTTCTCTTCTGGTTGTTATCTTCTTTTCCAATGATTTTAAAATTATTCCACTCTGCCATATGTTGTCCGTCTTCAGTAAAATGAGATCAATTCTAACTCAAACAAAGCCGAAAAATGAAGAACAAACGTCAAAAAATTGTATTTACAGTATACCTTGTGTTTGTGGAAAGTTTTATACAGGTGAAACCAAGAAAAGAATCATCGATGAATCGAAATTAGCTGAACATATCCTTACTGAAGACAGACAACATATGGCAGAGTGGAATAATATTAAAATCATTGGAAAAGAAGATAACAACCAGAAGAGAAAAATCAAGGAATCTGCTTGCATTCTTCTGAACGGAGACAATAGCATTGCTTCTTGTTCAGTTGATATAGACAGAACATGGTATTCACTACTAAAATCTGAACATGAAAATGGTAAATTCAAGATTAATTAATGAAAACATCCTGTAACTCCTTCGATTGCCAACGTCACCAATTGTCATTGAAAACTGAAAACCTTCAAGACATATTATACGACTTCGCAATTGAAAAAATCTCTTCATGTTGAAAACGGGAGCAGAATCGGTCCCGAAACGTCCAAAGATAAGTGAAAATTTGATATTTTTTCTATATACCTTTATTTCTCTTCTCCAAAAATTTTTCAATACAAATTGTCACTGACAAGCTAGTGAATTTTTCTTTTAGGCTTCCTGATAGGAAAATTCTTTAAACGCAGTGACATTTTAGGGCAAATCATCTGATTTGTCCTTACTACACGTATAATGAAATAATATTCATATTTTTATTTTATAGAAACGAGGAGAGAAAATCCCAAAAAATTTGGAATGATGAATAGCCTGCCAAACTTCACCTGCGGCTCTTTCGACCAAAAATATGAAGAAAACGTCGAAAAATGTTTCATATAAGGGTGCGGTGACCTCCTGAAAGGCAGCTTCTGAAGATGATCTCCCTATCTTATATTGATGAATTGATATCTTTTACCTCTCGCTATAGAGCTGGAGTCATATTCAACTGTTTTCTCGATAATGAGATTTTTTGTGTCTTCACAATCAGCTGGTGTAGCAGGACAAACTTCAATTGGAGATTGTGAGACCACAGTAAACATTAGTATATTGTTCAACGAGCTTGGTTAATCATGATTCCTCACGAGAATGAAGTTTACAGCATGAGTCGTAGGCGAATGCAGGCTAATTTTGGGACACCCTGTATATCGTATATCGTTCCGTATACAAAACCAACACTATATAAAGATCGAGGACATAATATCACATGAATATGATTTGAACTTCGTTACTCCCCAGGGTAGTGTCTTGGGGCCCTCGATTACCTTACTTTTCGTCAATGATTTGGCAAACTTTATATTTTTATGTATGCTGATGGGTGGATGACGAGGAATAATTTTCAAAATATTCATGAACTCAAAAAAATGCCCGGAAATGATTCAACCTCATGTGGTACTCGATGAGAAAATTTCAAACCAGATTGTTTGAAAAATCAATAGTTCAGAAATAATTCATTCATATGATGTTCAAATAGATTCATGAACAAATACAATTTCGGCTGCAGTTTCGGCACCAGCTAAAGATTTCTAGATTGAAAATGCCTGATTTCTACCTATTGTGTTGCATGAAAATATCAGTTCTGAATGTGTTACATTATATTATATTCTCTTATTCGAAGCAACTTTAGGAAAATAGCTAGGTGCAGTCTAGTAGTAATAGTATCAGCAAGTAGGCCCTCTAGGGCCATGTTTGCTGACCCCTACTTCATCCTAGTAATTCTCTTTGCCCATAATATCAGACCAGTAATCGAAGTATTGATATTGATATCGAATATAATCTGTTTGTGAGAATGAAAAAAAAAAGGAAATGAAAGTGCAGTGTAGTGAAAGTGGAATATTGCATATATTCATTATTGGTACACATTATATTCACTTCACACCAATTAATTGTTAGGTACACTCGATCCTTTGAAAATACGGTTCTAATTCATGGAGTTTTCATTTATTACCACGAGAGCTTCAATTATTACCGGAAAATTTTTCAAGAACACGAATATTTTAAAATTTTCCTCTGTTGAAGACGAGGGAGAATTTTCTAAATATTCGTGTTCGAGATGGAAGTCGACAGTGTGTATATCGATATAATTCATATCCATAACATTGTTGAGTTAAATACAACACAATTAACCTTCTTTAGTTACACAAAATATTGAAAACTAAGTTGATAGTAGTTCGTTTTCTCGGTGTTTCACGAATTAATTCTACTAAAGTTGGTAGAAATATATAACAAGAAACTCAAAGTATTATTCAGTGTCAATGAAATGAAAAAATATGATTTGATTGTAACTCAATCTCTCAGTTTTTCACAAATTAGTTCAACAAAAGTTGGTAGAAATATATTTCCTTACAAGGAACTTGTCAACTTATAGGATGAATTCGACGTAATCTGGAGTCAAATGTTAATGTCATTTTACCTCTGAACGTCAAAAAAATTCCAGATTAATTCAATGCTCCTTCCCCCAAGGAGGAAAAAATTTCCAGAAATTTGTTTAGTTGCTATGGTAACAATATAGAATACAGGCTTCCAATTGATCGAAACTATTAGGTGTGAAGTTTTCATAATGAAAAATTATTATTGTCACAAGATTCACCAATCTAGAGGAAAATCATCCGTTATGACGATCCGAAGTTCGAAAGGAAAATACGCTAAAATCCCTTCGTTACATTTTTTCGGGGAGGAAAAATCCTTATGTCTTAGGGAAGCGGCCCTGCTATCCCCTTATCGCGATTCATCGAGTTACTGAAGGGTCTACCCTTTTGCCTCAAAAATGTGAACAAGCATCCCAAGACAAGGGCGAGAATAGGTTTTGAGTTAGAGTTGAGACAGAAAATTCAGGAGCAACAAATAAGAGTTGATCGTTATGGAAAAGGAATGTGATTATCTTGATGATATAAATTTGGTTCAAGGCTATAAATAATCTAGATCTTTTGAAATTTGATTATGGATCACTTTGACTATGATCCATTGCATTTGAGATAAAACATCATCATAATCAGCAGGTTTTTTGAGGATCTTTGCGTTTGGTTTGATAACACATCGAATGAATGAGATTCATAGAGGGGTTCAACACTTATTGCTTCAGAACATGGGGAAGTGAAACGATATCTTCCAGGTCTAAATTGAAAGGGAAGTCAGTCGTATACTTAACAATGGGAGTCTCAGATCCCGTCAATCTGAATATTTCAATATCAAGAGAAATTTTATATATTCCTTCAGATCCTTCGTTGGAATGTTATATAAATTAGTCGCGCATGTCCTCAGACTGACATAGCAGAAACAAAATGGGTCTAAATTGGACATTGGATCTTCAACTCAATAAGCTCTCTTGGTTTGGAAGTAGACGTTAAACTTTCTGAATTTGAGCTTCAATATTTCGGATAGGAAGATGAGGTAGGTATTGGAATCATTCTGAACTTTTCCAAAGTTATTCTGTTCTACAGACGAACAAGTGTTGGTGAAGTGTTATTCGACATATCTCAAGGTCGACAACGAATTAATGTGCGAAGATTTCTGAGGAACATTTCACGTAGAAGTTTCTATAGAAGACGGTCGCCGACAATTCTACAGTGTTCTAATGGGGTCAAAGAACTAGCGAGTGTGGCATCACTCACCAGACGAATGGCTCTTCTCTGGATGGAATCTAGGAGCATCAGCGTATGTTTGGGAGGCAAACCCCATATGTAAAAACAGTATTCTGGAACTGGCCGCATCTGTGCTTTGTAGATCATGAGAAGCTGTTGAGGTGTAAAGTAGATTTCCACACGGAACAAAAATCCGAGTTTTCGGAAGCAGCTTCGCGATGGATCAGACATAATTATCCCATGAGAGAGTATTGCTGATGAGAATACTGAGCATAGATATAGTGGACTTGATGGAAATGGTGCTACCAGACATTGTTATACCAAGTATACTGTGCTTCGCCTCTCTAGACAACACACAGGATTGAGTTTTGGTAGCGTTGAATATCAAACTGGGTTGTTGGTTCCCCAGTCTGTAAGCTTTGACCTGCCATCGTCTTCTTAGTTTCCTTGAAAGAAATGGAAATTCAGGAAGAGAACGCAGTATGGAGAGTACTATTATCTGACAATCTGTGGATAGGACAAGTGGTTGCTCCCAACAGACCATTGATATGAAGTCGGAACAATGTAAGAGGCGAACTTGATCCTTGTGAAACTCCGGAATAAATGGCAATGGTATCAGACTCCGTCCACCACCACATGGAGCAATCTACCTGAAAGAAAACTTGATATAAGGTGACATAGCTGGAGTGGTAAGCCATTGATGGTATTTTGTGGAGGAGTCCTTGGTGCCAAACACGGTCGAATGCCTTCGATATATCCAACGCTGCAGCCATGTATTGTCTATCATTATTGATTCCTGAGCTTTCCAGCTATTTGATGAGCTCATTGTTGATTGCTTTCCTCATCACTTTGGAGATTACTGATAACAGAGCAATAGGTCAGGATTTTGTTTATTATCTTGGGGATTGGTTGGACTCCAGCAAGATGAAAAATACTTGACTTGTACGATGGTAAATAACCTGCAAAAAATCTGTATTAATCCTGTTAATCATGTTACACAATTCTTGAGAATGATGGGTGGAATTCCATCAGGACCGTTTGCCTCATCTCAAGTCGTCTGATAGTTCGTTGACAAAAGACAATTTCAGCGAACCTCTCTGCAAAAATGTTTGCTTTCTTTTGCGATGTTGAAGCTAATGTGTCTTCGGCTATGTTCAATAGGCATCGACTCGAGAGGATCGCTTACATAGCTATCCAGAAGAAGATTCTGCCCGTTCAGGATTTGACATTTTCCACTGTGGGTTCAACACTTCAAGATCAGAGCCAGCATTATCAAACTCTTTCAAAACATACAATACACAAAATATTTCTCAGATTTCGAAACGAGTTAAAAAGCAGGAGATCGGTCGCATACTCAAGGATTCCCACGGACATTTATAGGTCCCTATAAAAGTCCCTGCTTTCCCATGTTGTGTTGTTTATCAGAAACGCGTGAGACAAAACAGATCGCACGGTGGATTTGTCTTTCGGTTTTACGATCTGGGGCGTATATATATTTGCTAGGGCTCCTAGTGGGGCTTTTTCGGTTCATTCGTCGATTGTTTTATAGTGATTGGATGCGCCGTACACGGGAAAATCGCAGAATTTATGCATGCATGGTGCTTGTAATGTAGCGATAATACCCATTATGGACTATTCAGTTGGGTATCGAGTCTCCCCTTGATGAAATTATCATCATATAAATTCAGTTCAACTCGTCAAGGAGTTGGATGATCGGTTCTATAGTTCTCGAAATAGCACGATATTTGTTTTTTCTAGAATATTATGAATTGTGATATTACGAGTTGATTTTGTAGCTTCACTGATCACGAAAACGTATTGCCAAGCAACACCACGATTTCAATAGGTGGTATTGCTGAACGGTAACGGAATGAAGTCAACAATAGAAGACAGAAATATTTAAATATATTCAGAACATAAAGTGATCCATCATAACCAAAGCGACTCATTCTGACGTCTCCAGCTACGATTATTTTTTGTCGAACTCCATCTCACCATCCAGTATTAGAAGAAGTACTAGTCTCATGGGCCCCGTTTCCAACCCCTGTTCTTCACATATCTACACATCCTCCTTCTAGCTGTATTTTCTGATTCTTCCTGACCTGCTGATGAAGGCCAGGATGTCTGATCAACTCCAGAGATTTCCAATCTCATCCTCCCATATGTATCACATTGTCCGAGGAAATGGAATGACGTTTCTTCATCTTTTCCGCATTCACTATGCTTTATATGAATGAAAGAGCAGCCTCCTGCATTCTTTGAATGTGTGCGACTGAATTCCGCCCTTTTGTACCGTGGTATAAATGAAGACATATTATTATTATTATTATTATATAGGTGTCTATATACGCAACCTATTGTGTCCTTTCAGTACCCCTATGAGGAGGCGGTCCCTGCCAAGTATAACCATTTCAAACACCAATACTTATACACCAATCAGAATTGAAATACAGGTGGTTTTTGGCCATGTTACAAGTTGTCTTGACTGTGATTGATCAGAACATGTGAGGATCTGAAGATAGTAAAGTAGTCAGAAATAAAACAGCAGTGATCGCGTATAAAGACATTCATGAATAGTTTGATAATAAAAACATTCCGAGTGGCACTTTTTATGTGCACTGTATACCTAATCAAGGAATTTAGGTTTACTGTAGGAGTCATCAATGTTGTATTATGTTAATTTTGGCTATAATCCGTATACCTATTATTTTGTGATAATAACAATTACACCATGATGGCGGACTGACATTATGGACTTATCGTGTTGTGACAATGTGGTGCTTAAAAGCTGCTAAATTACGAAACATAAACACTTAGTGATCCAGTGAATGTTATTCGAGGTAGTCATGGGAACAGGGCAACAACTGTAACTTCTAAGTATTGATTTTGATATGGTTCATGTACTCAAAATGGTTTCAAAAACGTGCACCAATCGAAAAAAAAAATGTTTTTCATTGAATTGAATTATTTGTACAATCTGCAACGAGAAACAAATTTTGAACAATTGAGGAATACAAAATTCATACGGTTTACTGCTGGAAGCATTTCATTCATTTGTGATTGTTTCGAATTGTACAATTTCATCCTCAATTGCCTCAATTGTTTTCATATAATAACACCAATGAAAGATTTTTCGAATTCATTCATTTCACAGTTCGAATTCATTGTTGAATCTCAGTACTGAGTGAATAAAACCACAATATATTTGTTAGACAATTCAAGAATCTACTGAAATGTCGCTTTTTCAGGTAACCTTAGTCACTCAGAATCCCATGGACCGCTAGTCAGAGCCCCACAGAAGTGATGCCCCACTCTCAGCATCGCTCCATCAGATCATGCTTTCCATTTGCCTTCCAAGGCGTAATCTGATTCTGTTTTGCGTCGCCATATTAGTACCAGTACTACGAGTCCATTGTGGTCCTCGCTATAGTTCCAGGATAGTGGATATCCAGTCAGGTGCGATCAGAGGGATCATACTGGAATTGAATTCGAGGCATTTGGAACCAGTTGAGGTGAGTACAAATAATTTCAGTAGGTGAAATTAATACAATGAATATTTTCACAACGCGGAGGCTGAAGTGTTGATCATTATCAACAAGAATTAGTAACGAAAATATTGAATGAAATTGAGATCATCAACTCTTGAAAACACGCTTGTGCATTGAAAAACATTGCTAAGTCCCTTACATGTTTTTTTCACACTTGATGATGATGATATTTCGAGAATAATGTATTTAGACGGTCTGAATTTGAGCACCTCACTTTCACACATAACTCATTTTTTTATCTCTTGGAGTGCACTTGAGGAAATTCCTATGAGGTTCGAAGAACTTCGTGCGTTCCTAAAGAGGGTCGGGAGAGGAGGTAGGTGTTGGGATTGTTTTGAACTATTTTAGAGGTTATATACAAGTTCTTAGGAATACTTCCGTCGACTATGGCGTTTTGACCTGTCGCATTCGTCGCATACTGGTATGGCTAGTGATGGAATTATAGCAGAGATTCCTGAGGAAGATTTCCCGTGAAATTATCTAAGCAAAAGTGAATGGTCACCGAATTTTTACGGTGTTCTAATGAAGTCAAAGTATTAAAGTGTGTGCATCACCCACCAGGCGGATGGCTCTTCTCTGGAAGGAATGTATGAGCATCAGCGTATCTTTGGGTGCTGAACCCCATGTGTGAGAACAGTATTCTAGGATTATGTGCTCTGTAGATCATGAGGAGCTGTTGACGTGTGAAGTAGATTCTCGCACGGAATAAAAATCCGGGTTTTTGTGAAGCAGCTTTCGCGATGGAACGGGCATGATTTTCACATGAAAGAGTATTGCTGATGAAAATATCAAGCATAGATATAGTGTACTATGTGGAAATCGTGGTACCAGATATTTTTGAATCAGACATAATTTTTTGCTCGCACAAGTTTCCTGAAGATTTCTGAGGGTTGCCCGTGAGGGGGCAACCGAATGACGAATAAAACTATTTCAGAACAACAATTTACAATGAGGGCCGCCTTTCAACAGAGAAATCTGGATTTTTGTAGTGGTCCTCCCCATGATTTTGCATTCATATTCCTCGAATATTTCATGACCACAAACAAAAGCTGCTTGGGCAGGAAACCAGTCTTTCTGAGTATACCTCTGATTCACTAGATCTTCTACAGATATTTATTCGTTTCCAAAAAATATGGATCATGTCTCTACGTATTCTTTCCAGGAACCTGAACTATCAAAGTTCCTCTGACATCTAAGTAAATATCTCGGTGGCATCACATCACGTTATATTTCCATGAAAGTATCAAAATGAAGTGTTTCAAACATACAGTACAGTACTTATGATAATATGTTTCTGAATAGGTGAATTGTTTTCAGTAACCCAACGTCAAGTTCTCAAACAGTTTATAATGAAGGAAAATCAGGTAGAATTCGTAGGGATGCAGCTAATGGAAATACATAGCGTTACAAACATCCTGCCAATTGAGAGTGGAGTCAACTGAAAGGTCAAGAAAAAATATATTTAACTTTTTTTTGTAGGTGTTCCGCGGGGTACCATACGCAGCTCCCCCAGTGGGTCCCCTCCGATTCCGGTCCCCCCAGCCTGCTCTGCCTTGGCCTGGAACCCGATTGGCCGATACCTTCGGAGCTGTGTGCCCCCAGAAGTACCCGGACGTGAGCAACCGAACGGCCGCATTGCAGTACATGCCGAAGGGGCGGTACCAGTACCTGAGGAAGTTGGTGCCGCTGCTGGTGAACCAGTCAGAGGACTGCTTGTTTCTGAATATCTACGTTCCAGGAAGTGGTGAGTGATAGCGTTTTGCACGCGTCGCACTAGTCAAACTTTTTTAGTACTGAGCGCGCTTTGCGTGGTCCACTGAAAATTAGAAGAGCAAACTTTTGTCGAGAAATGATTTCCACTGGCTTTCGAACTTGATGCTCGCTCAAAGTTCGAGTTTTCAGAACCGTGCTTCTGCGACAGTGCGATACACATAACCTCGAATCTCCGAATTTGTTAACTTTATCCGGTTTATTTCCTTCTGAATGTGTGAACTTTGTTTTTAAAAATCCAAGCAAAGTTAGGGAGACTAAAAACCTCTCCACCTTGAGACGAACAGTTATGAGACACTTGATCTGCTCCGAACCATATGAAATAAAGGACTTATATCAATATATAAAGAATCTTTTTCCAGACTTTGTTCCAGATTTATATATAACGTCAGCTCGACCAGGTATTTCTCAATATAAGTAATAATGGAATCTGAAATTTATCTCATGATGGTGTTGTAGGTTTTGTCGAGTTTTCCAACAGTTTTGAAAAGCTGCCTTGGCGCACACTCGGAAATAGAATCAAATAAGTTCAGAAACCATTTTTGCTTTGTATTATTATTATAGTTGTAAGCACATATAGGAGTATCCTCACATTAGATAAGCAGTTATGACTTGTACTATACAAAATGTTAAATTTGTCTGAGTTATAAAAAAATGAATTGAATAAATTCTGAAAAATTCATTCTATTCGAGTGGGAAAATATATGAAATTTGAACGATTATGAATGTCTCATCGATGTTTATTGCAATAACTTCCGAAATGATGATTGAGATACGGATGTACTCCGTTACGAAATAGCATTCACCGAAAATTCAAAATCACATAAAAACATTCAATTGTTCGCCCTCGAGCTACAAATCGCACCTTGGGAAAAATCTTGCATTTCTGTCCCTTGATGTATAATGTATACTATTGGCGTCATTCAATTGAACCTCATTGACGATGAAAAAACATCTTCATTCATAAGACTGTTGCTGGCAGTGCTCACAGGGGAATCACAGAAGGTGGATGAATCCATTTTATGTGGACCAGCGAAACCAAATGTACAATCAATCTGCTATCAATTCTACTTTTTGATTAACAAAGCAATTCTGACATTCTGTAATGAGATTCATTGGTAGTTTCATGGAAAGTAACCCTAGATGTCCTCCTAGTCCATACATACCGAGTGTCAACGAATCTATCAGACAAACCATTACTTCCAGAATATTCGGTTTATCGAAATGAAATTCGATATGGGTATATTATTTGTGAAGAGGAGAGTTTTCTGATACTTTTCACTTCCTGGTCACTTCCGGTTTCACCGTGAATGGTTCCGGATTTGAACTTTTGGATGGAACACCCTGTGTTCTGGATCATCAAATGGAATTTTCAGAAGTTCTTACGCCTACGTCATTTTTTTTTTGGGTCATTTTTGAAATCTGGAGTCATTTCCGGTGAAACCGGAGGTTACCGGGAAATAAGCGAAACATTTCTTCTTTACATGCCATATACCAATTATAATTTCATTATGATACATCAAATATTTCAGTAGTTACGTCTTGTCTAATGGATTCGTTGACACCCGCTAAATCATCTGATGGTGTTGAACTTCGAACGTTATCATCAGAAACACAATATATACCTTAATATCCTAGACAAGATAAGATCCTGTTGTGAAAAAAATATCAGCAAGTCGAATAAACATCTGAAGGCCTACTTCGGTTATCATCGCAGATAAGCTGATAGTTGGAGATCACATATCATTTATGAATTCGAACACTTCATTATTTCGATATCATATTTTGTCTTTACTTTACTTGGGTGTATTGATACAAACAATATTGAATTGTCAATGGAGGGATACCACCGCTGTTTCTGCATCTCTAACCTCAGATCTCAATTTCAGCTGATTGCTTTTTTTCATTCCCATTCAAATACTCCATAATGTAAAGAGGCAGTTCTAATTGAAATGTCACAAAGAGAAAGGATAGATGATTTTTCCATCATACTGTCATTATTATTCAACTCACAACAGCAACTGGGAACATATGGCTCCTAAAATATAAATAAGTATAGTTGATTTCCAATTGAGAACGACATGATGGAGAAATAATACAAACAAATACAATGGAAACAAAAATTCTGTTTATGGTGGATAGGTGAAGTATCAGCTGAAGCTGATATACTGAGTTTCGATTTTCCAGAGGAAATGCAGGCTTACGTTCTGGTGGCGTTGAATTCAACTAGGTTGTTGGTTCCCCAGGCTCTTATTTCTGAAAGATCTTCACTGACAGCGTTGGCCTGCCTTCATCGCAAGATCTTAGTTTCCTGGGATAAAATGGAAATTCTAGAAGAGAACGCAGTTTGGAGAGTACTATCGCTCGCAAAACTGTGGATAGGGCAAATGGTTGTTCAGAATAGATCATTGATGTGAAGTAGAAACGATATTGGTGCCAAGATTGATCCTTTTGGAACGCAATGTTATCAGATTCGTATCAGACGATAATCCGTCCACAACGATATGGAGCAATTGGTCTGAAAGAAATCTCGATGAAAGATGGCATAGCTCAGGTGGTGATAGTTTGTGGAGCAGTCATTGGTGCCAAACATGGTCGAATGCCTTCGATATATCTAGCGCTACAGCTAGAAATTCCCTATGTTTTTCTTATGAAGTTTGCCATATATGAGTGACGTAGGCAAGTGAATCTCTAGTCTAGTTGATCTTCGGTGGCGAAAGCCATATTGTCTCTCTTCAATGATTCCTGAGTTTCCCAGATATTTGATGAGCTCAATGTGATGGCTTCCTCCATCACTTTGGGGGCTCTTATTTCCTGTTTTGGGGATTGCTTGGACCCTGGAAAAATATCCGACTGATGGTAAATAGCTTGCAGAAAATCTTGTGCAGGCTCTTATTTCCTGTTTTGGGGATTCGTTGGACCCTGGAAAAATAACTGACTGTGGTAAATAGCTTGCAGAAAATCGGTATCAATTCTGGTGCATACTTTTTGAGGATTATGAGTGGAATTCTATCAGGACCATTGGTCATTCATTTCGAGAACAAGGAGAATGCGTCTGATAGTGCGTTGACGGAAGACAATCTCGGACATTCGACTTTCAACGAGTTTAACGTTGTGTATTTTTTTGACGTGCACACTTAAACAAATTTGTAATTCTGCTCAAGGCTGATAGATGATGGATTTCGATTCGTGATAAAGTACGAAAGTGCGAGAAACTGTGCGAGGTCGCGCAACTAATATATTTATACACGAAAACCATCTTGGGAGTATCGAATAAATCATTCATTATAGTCAGAACCGACACCGCTGCTCATATTCATAGCAGGAAAAAGCCTGTGCGAACGACGATATACGATAATACCGAATCAATTTTCGACTTGGCTCTGACAGTTCTCGCTCTTGCTTACAAATTAATATGGGAAAAGTTTTTCACTACGAAGTAGGGGCGCCATCTGGAAATAAATTGTGATCAAAGGAGTGGAAATGGAGATTATATATATTTTCTGCAATCGACACAGAAGTTTGTACATTTTAATACCAAAGTTAGCTCCTGAATTGACGATTCTATAACTTACAAAGACATGTTGCTAGGCAACACCTTCAGTTCCAAGGAGCTAAAGTTGAACTTTAGCTCCTAGGAAATAGAAAGGATGTACTAGGTCATCAAGAATAAACAACATTGTTACGGTTGTTATTTTGGGTTGGGACGCATACCTGATTTGTTTCCGATTTCGACAGATTTGATATTTCATACCCATGCTGGAGATATAAATACACCATATTATAGTTAAAAATTTTTGTTTCGATCAGAAAAGCCTTCAAGATTTACATACTTGCTTGATCTGTACTCCATTCGTTATTCTCGGGATGGATAACTTCTCTTCTTGAATAATCACGGCCAGCAAAAAAATCGATATAAAATGTTTCATTTCGGAGATACAGGGTGTTAAAATACATTTGTCGACGAATATTTTACAGGAAAAAAGTAGTTTATTTTGGTGAAACCTACCACATACTTAGTTTTTGTTGTGTTCGCAGCAACTTGACTTAGCGCCCTGGGAGGACATGTATCGATAGAGGAAATTGTAAATATCTCGAAAACGATCATCTCAGATTTGTTGAGGAGGTGTACTTTTTTTACTTGTTAATGGTGTGGGAATGAGGTTATTTTAATAAAAAGTACCAAAAGTTCACTGTCAAAAATCTTAGGGCAATTTCAAGAAAATAATGACACCTTCTTATATGTTACATGAGAATGAATATGAAATTATTATTACCCGCGTCAAATAAACTCCAGGTACGAAATTTTGTGCAGGTAACTTAGGTATTTTTTGCAAAAAGTAATTTTCAATATGCGAACTAAAAATTCAATTTCAACACCCTGTATCTGCGAAACGAAGCGTTTCCGGGCAGAAGTTTATATTGAAATTGTCTCAGGAATACGTAACTTGAATAGTTGAACGTACTTATGTTACACCCTGTATAGTGGTTGAATGTTTAGCATTCCAATACTATACGACAATATTTTAAAAATAGGAAGATCACTTGTTTACAATTCAATAGTTGAATGATTGACATCTCGATATCAAATATCTTGGTATATAGATGCAAAGATACATCAGTATTATCAATGATTCACAAGTAAATAGTTGAATGATTGTCATTCGAGTATCAAGGTGATCAAGATCAATAAAATTGACTGGGTTTCAGATCTTCGATCAATATAATAGACATATCTACTACTTCATTTTCCCATATCAGTTACAGGATGTTTTCATTGATTAATCTTGAATTCACCATTTCCATTTTCAGTTGATATAGATAACACATGTTATTCACTACTGACATCTGAAAATGGAAATGGTAAATTCAAGATTGATTAATGAAAACATCCTGTATTTCATTTGATTGCCAACGTCACT